CCACCTTTTTCGTCTTCTCAAAAGTGAAGTGTATTTTGCCAATATTTCTTTTTCACAAGATTGTTTATCATTGACAGCATTAATAAATTTATCAGCATGGGCTTATATATTTTCTCCCTTTTGAATTCCTCCTCCTCCTCCTCTCTCTTTTTCTTCTTCCCTAGGAATGCTTTATTTTGAAAAGAAGCTTGATGTTAAAATGACTAAATTTACACACACACACACACACACACACACACACAAGAGAAAGGCTGAAGGGTTTGGCTTAGAATTTTGACTAATTTGAGACTGTCACATTTCCTCAGCTCTGCAAACCATCACCAAAATTTTGCACTGGCCATTTTATTCCACCCACACCACAAACAACTGCCAGTTATTTGACATCTTCCACCAATTCTTCATGCTTCTTAATTAACTGCTTATTTTGACTGAAAGTTATTCCACTGATAAGTGATTCAACAAACATATGTTTAGTGGCATCAGTGAGCAGAAAAAGAATAGTCTGGGTTTGAACTATTTCAAATGTTCCAAACTCAAAACAAAACAGTCAATAGTATTTCAGATTTATCTTGAATTCAGAATGAATAAGGGATTTTGTTCCATGTTGTTTAAAATGTTTTATCATGGGGAACAATGGGAATTTTAAAAAAGATTCTGCTCTTTCATTTTTCAACTTAAAGGCATAAAAGTAGGCCTTTTGATGTTTTGAAGATTCCCATAGGGCTCTGCTGGCTTGGGTTTTTTTTTTTTTGTGCAAGTTGGAATTTGTTGTTTGTGATATGGGACACTTGATATTTGGATTGTTTTGATTATTGATTTAATTCAGTACACCACCCATAATCACTGCTATGACATGGATGTTCATATAAAGTCAAATAAATAAATAAATAAATAATCAGATCATATTCAGTTATACAGCTTTACTCAGGTCCCTTGCGAGATGTATTGGAACTCATGACCTGGTGTCTGGATGCTGTTATATTCTGGATGGGATAAAACAGGCTCAGACTCAGCTCCAACAAGAAAGAGTGGCTATTGGTTCAGAGGCTGACTGATTCCAGGAATGTCCAATTTTTGTTTTTTGAGGGGGGATGATTTCTGCAAGAAAGAGCTAGCTTGCAGTTTTGGGGTCCTTCTACACTTGTGTTTCCTGCTGAAGGACCAAGAGGAGACTGCGGCCAGAAGGGGACCAGTTGTGGCTTTACCTGGAACTGATGCATTGAAGATGTTTGCTCAAGCTCTTGTCATCTCTACATTACTCTACTGTAACATACTCTACATGGGATTGTCCTTGAAGACCACATGGAAACTTCAATAGTCCCAGAACACAGCAGCACATGTGCTCAGAGGCCAGTTGTGATACTGCCTTGTTACACCTCTACTGCAGTTACCAGTAGCTTTCAAGTGCAATTGGAGGCACTGGTTGCTAATTATAAAGCCCTTTATATCTCAGGGCCTGAATATCTTAGACACCACTTTTTTCCCAATAGTTTCTGCATAAACTATCTGAACAACTACATGCTAAGAGTCCCCTCCTTCCACAAGGCACAGTAGCATCTCCCCTATTCGGAAATAGCTTACTCACAAAAGAAGGATGGCCCCCACTCTCATGGAAACAGGTGAAAACATT